GAATTTTCAAAATCGGTTCAGAATTGGACTAAAACGTGGAAGAAAATTTTTTCACATTTCTGCGATTTAAAAAAAACGGCCTGGCTGATCGCGCAAAACTGATAAACGCTAGTCCTCATCGAATGGCTTTTAAATTATTGAAATCGGTCCAGCCGTTCTTGAGAAAACGTCGATTTACGGCAAAAAATCTGTTTACATACACATACACACATATTTACAAACACACATCCATACTTTTTCCAAATTTGGTCTCATTCGATTCAGAATGACTTGAAACGTCGAGAAAACATAAAATTAACGAACCGGATTTTTTTAAGAAAACAAACTTTTCCTTCGGGAAGTTACCTAACAGTGGTGCATGACATCGTGCCTTAAGCAAATTGCTAGAAATATTCCAAAATTTAAGAAATTTGGAATATTTGAAAAAAATGGACTTTTTTGAAAAATTTGATTTCTTTATATTTTGATTTATTTTGAAAATTTGAACATTTTTTTTATCGCGCGCTGCACAGCCATCGCGCTAATCATGATTTGGAGTCGAAATATCAAAGCGCGTGAGCGCCGCATAGACGTCTAACGTGTAAACATTGGTACGGAACCCACATAATGTACACAAAATTTGTACTTATTATTACAATCTTAATAAAATACCTGATAATACGATGTACATATGTCTAAGGTTCATTTTTGATCGCCAAATAGCATTGATTTTTACTTTTTTAATTGGATCTCCCGAGACGCTGGGCTGCCTTTACAAAAATTTCACCAGTTGTTCATTTCGTCAATACAACTAAAATGTTTTTTGAATTATTTAAATCGGACGCTCCGTTATCTCAAAAACTGAAATACCATTTTTGGCACTTTTTGTCCCGTATCTCCGAAACGGCTAGACCTGCCTTTGCCAAAAACTATTCAGCACGTCTCCTTATCAGTAGGAATCGAATGTTTTTTGAATTATTCTAATCGGTTGATCCGTATTCGCAAATAGTCGACGAAAATTTGTATCCGCACACATACACACACACACATCCTTTTTTCTAAGGTATGCCAAAATGTTCAAAAACCTCTGAAACGTAAAGATATAAAAAAAATCATTATTGATTTTTTGCGTTACTATAACTTACCCTACGGGAATTTAATAACTAGTTGCAATTGGCATTTTGCCTTAAGAAAAACTTAGTCGAGTGACATATACTCTTTTTTTATATATGTAACCACCTTATCGATAATAATTGAGATTTATCTATATTTAAGTAGATGGAATTTTCAACAGTTTATTTCAAAAATAAAGTTTTCGCTTGTATTACTAAAAATAATATTTTATTTAATAAAATACATATGTCGATAAATAAATATTTTAATTCTTTAATATTCGATAAATTATTATAATAAAATATATAAATAAAATATATAAACACAGAAAAAACAAATACTATAAAAGTGCTACACATAGATTTCCCCAAAATATAAAATTTATACTACAGAAAAATATGTATATGCACCAGACTTGTGTTAATAAACAAATATTGTTTATAATTATATAAAGCACAGCACTTATATTTAGTTTGGTTTAGTTACCTCCGATATAGCTACACAAGTGTAATTATTTTTATATAAATATTAATTTCCTATAAAGTGAACTATACCGTGTTATTTTTACATTATATATGTGTATAGTTGTTTTAGGTTTCAGGCAGTCTTTTTAAGTTTAATATATTGTACATTGAGTAAAATTTAATGGTAAAGTCGTCATAAAATTACCTAAAATATTTTCAAATTGGTGAAGTAATGTACGTAAATATCTTTAATAAACTAGAGTAGAGTATTTTAATTATTTCAGCAACCTGAGAAATATAAAACAAGATCATTATTATTTAAACCTTATTTAGAATCAATGAATATATAATCATTTTTGATTATTAAGAAAGAAAATTACTATAATTTAAACAAAGAATAAAATTCAATAACATTGTCTACAGGTAATATTTATAAATTCTGAATGAGTAAAAAAAAACTCACTCAAGCTTTTTAAGGTTTTATGACCCAGTGTTTCATATATCTCCGAGTTGTATAACACGTGAATCTAAAAATAGATGTTTCATTCGTATGTTGCTAAGAATGATTTTTAATTATAATAAAAATCATCCAACGACTTCATGTATATTGCTGGCTAATATTATATATATAAAATACTGCCCTTCAGCAATACATAAATTATTTATTCTGGATCAGGAGATTCTGCTTTAACATCTGAAGCACTGATCACTGTAGTTTGAGGGCAATCTTTCTCCTGTGCGAAGTAAGCAGCCGCATCAAAGGTTTCACCAGTCTGAAATTTTATTGAAAAATAATAATTACAATAAGTTTAACCCCTTAGCTACGACTGTCCTCTAGACGACATTAGCCTGACGACCTGTATGTACGAGTGTCGCCTTTAGACGACATTCAGCGTATCGCACCGTTGCTTCAATATTTATTACTCTGTATCTAAATTTCTATTTTAATCATAGTTTTTTAAATATTTATCATTAATAATAATGGTTGATCATTAAAAATCTTTAAATATGCGAAAATCAACATAGGCAAGTCGAAAGTGATGAGAATCACAAAAAGAAAATCCCCTGAGGATAAACGGTAGGAAATCGAGAATTAATAAAGTGCTACGTCTGGAGCATAGCTCTGTACGAATTGGAGACATGGACTCTAAGAAAGGCCGATAAGAACTACCTCGAGAGTTTTGAAATGTGGTGCTGGAGGCGAATGGAGAAGATAAAGTGGACAGACAAATAACAAATGAAGAAGTCCTGAGAAGAGTGGGCGAAGAGAGGACTCTACTTAGCACAATTCTGAGAAGAAGGAAACTGGATCGGACCTCTTTGCAAAAAGAGTGCCTCCTGCACGACGTCGTCGAGGGTAAAATAGAAGGAACAAAGAATGGGAAGAAGAAGAATGCAGACGATTGACGACTTACGCGAAAAGAGAAAATACAGAAAACTGAAAGCCGAAGCACAGGATCAAGAAGCATGGAAGCAGAACTTTGGAAAGAAAAATACATGAAGTAAAAACAAGGGGAGGGGGAATAGTGGTAATGGTTGAAGGGCAAGGGAATCATTTATTTGCGGTGGCTCTCACACCATGGACCTGCCTTCAGGCAGACTATCATTTATTATTATATTATTATGCCTCGAAGCGAAAGAGTTAACGTTTGAGTTAAGACTTAACGTTTTAAAAGCCAATGTAGTATGCAAAAAGGGTTGGAGAACTTCCACCTTGTACAACATCTTTTCATACAGATTTGGCATTGTTTGCACATCTTTAATATATTTACTTTATCTTTAATATTATTAACAAAAATACTTTACTACAAACAAACAAATAAGAATTCTAAAACTTAATAATAAACATTCACAAATTAGTTTTTTCATATATTATTTACAGGTTAGATGCTAATAAGAATATTGTTAATAATAGCACAACATTAGTACATGTAATAGTGTTAAAATAATGAAGCAAATCTAATTAATTATGATAATGAATAAAAGGATTAGTTTGGTTGTAAAAATTTATTGATGCACAATTCTTCAAAGCAAATAAAATAAAAGTGAAACTGAGATCATACATAAGAAAATATCACATCCATCTTTTAATATCTTTGGGTATTTATCACTAATCTTATAAATTACAATACATTTAAATCAATAACAATTTTAAACAATATAAACATTTGAAACAGAAAATATATATCCAACAATTTTGAATATGAAAATATTAGATTTTATAGTGATTTATTGCAACAATAAATCCTTGAATAAAATTGATTTGTTAGTCAAATTTAATTTGACAACAGCATTCTAGTTCCTCAAGAAAAATATTGAACCAATAAATACACTTATAAAACATATATAATCTTTTATATATAACTATCACAGTTCATAACTTTTTGGTTACAATTATAACTTTTGGCATTTTAGTTATAATACAAGTCTGTTGTTAATTCTCGTTAAATAGAAATAGTCGCTTGAAAATATTTTTCATTTTCAATAATCAAATATTCATTGAAATATTATGATAAATATTAAATTCATTTTCTATTAACAAAATAACAACTATGAATTTGCCAAGATCACAGTTAATGTAATAAGTTTTTGTTGACAAAATATGTATTATACAAGACTAAAAAAGTCTTTTGCATCGTTATTTGAGAAATGTAATATTTTTATGTTAGAGTATGATCAATGATAGTTCAATTTAAAAATGTGTTAAAAATGAAGTGGATAATGATAAATTAGTATGTGCTGTTCACTCTTCTTGTCGATTAAAATAAAATAGTCTAGAGTTTCCTTGATCCATATTAGTATTGATTGTTATTTGAATGCGAAATAATATAGTTGTTATTTTCAAAGGTATAAGCAGTTTTTCTCAATAATTCTTCTACGTTTACCTTAGTTGCGCGATTAATATTGTTTTGAGACATCACATCTAAACTTTTAGGCGCAATTCGAGAGAGAGGAGTTTTGGAAAGATTTACTAAAGTCTCATGACTATATTTATGAAGTCCATTATTGACGCTTGGTTCTGTAACAACAATTATATTATAAAATAACTCTTGAAGAAGTTACTATTTATACTGATCACAAAGAAATAACGAGGTAATAATTGAAACATATGCAAACTACATAATATATTCAATAACTGAGAATTATAAACTTCAAAGTGCTTCAAATCATAATATTGAAAATCATCATATTTAAGTAGAATAAAAAAATGGTATATATGCATTTTAAAATATCATGAAAATTCAACGCCTAATGTAATGTATTGAAATAGATTTGTCATTAATTTCAATTTAATTCATATATTTTACACACATAACGTCCATAATATAGTCTATTTCCGACTGTACAATAATTTTCATCACAAGAGATTTGTATGAGATTATCAAATATTATATAATTTATAAACAGTTATAGTGTAATCAAATTCACTTAAAAGTAATTTATTCACCTGGATAGTCTTAAACTCGAGGACTTTCTATGAAAATATTTTCTTCTTTCAATGGGTTTGCTTGGCGCTTCTTCGGAAATAGTAAATCCATTTCCTACATAAAAAATTAAAATGATTAATAAGTTTATTAATAAAATGATATTACAATTTAGTTCTAGTTATCTAGAGCAGTGGTCGGGAAAGTGGTAAATTACTGTAATCGCTCCGGAGTATGTGGGAAATCTCTCTTCGCCATAGGGGTAATGTCATCTTAGACAAAAATATTTTGGGGTAATGATTAAAAAGTTTCCCAACCGCTGATCTAGAGTATCGAAATGATTTTAACCACGAGATTCTTGCTTCAACTAAATTATGAAATATCTTTGCAAAATCAAAAATATATCGAGGTAAAAAACTAACTTTCACTTTTTAACTTCACCAAGGAAAGTCTATGTTTCAAAAAAAAAATCCGATAAGAAAATGGTTAAAAGCGGTGTTAAGGTTTCCCAATGGAGGTAACCTGAACTGTTTTTTTTTTTGTAAGGATGTCGCATCGTCTCGTATTTCGATACGACGGACAGTCGCCAGGCCACGCGGACCGTCGTCTGCATGTCTTTCACACTTTAAGTACAAATGCTAGTAATATAAGATATTTTAATTTTTGAGCTTAATTTATGTGTCTGGACCGTCTACATCCGCGTCGATAGTTTTTTATGTGTCTGCAAAATGACTTGAAATAAGTCTAAGAAATCATTCCCCTCAGATTTATAAATTAATGTAACCAGCCTCTTACGGGCGGGGCTAATATTGTTAATGTTAATTTTTAATAATTTTTATTTAGTATAAGTTTAGAGCTCAGTATAGAAACACCAAACATTTGATGCCATTATATTCATCATATTTTTTTATAATAAACATATTAATATCAAACGTCGCATTTTATTTAAATAATCACCGATCACACCAAGAGTTCAATTATAGAACAAATTTAAAAGTGTAGTGGTTAGGATAAATAAATCGACAACACCCAGTTAGACGTCGAAGTCACTTTTTAAGCTTCGCGCCTTAACAAGCGGAATACCACAAGGAACTGTTCTAGAACCACTATTATATTTGATTCATATTAACATCCTAACTGGAACAAAAAATAAACGGTGATTTAAAGTCCCATACACCGTGGCTAACGGAAAACAAAATAATAAATACAGAGAAAACTAACGTGAGTACATTTATTTCCAACAAAACAAAATGAAAAACTAGTGGTGTATGGCATCGTGCCTTAAGGCAAATTGCTGGAACTGAGCTTACTGTAGGAATTTGAAATGTTTTCAAATAGATTATTATAATATTGTAACATTGTCTAATATTTATAAAAATTATATAAACTGAATTGCGTTTTCCCAAAACGGCTAGACTGATTTAAAAAATTTCAAAACCATTCAATGCAGATGAATAAGGATTAACGTTTATCACAATCAGCCGAGCCTGATTGATTAAATTCAAAGATTTCGAAAGAAGATATAAGCTGGAAAACGCGATTATTAGTTTTTGGTAAAGATCGACCGGGCCGTTTCTTCGTAATGTGGAATTTCTTTTTATAATAATCTTGATAAAACAAGACTTTTGGTAAATCAATGAATTTTGTAGTCTGAAATAACATTCAAATATTGTAGACCTACAATAAGTGGTTGAGTTATAAAAATTCATCGAAGTATAAAATTTCGCAGTGAGCTTTAGCGATTCTAATCAGAATCTATGGCATATGTAAGTTCTATGGCGTTTCGTCGTACTTATTGATTACAGTTGACGACCACACTTTGATAAAATACACTTTTATAACACAAAATAAATTAAAAAAAATATGCTAAATAACTTAATTTAACAACTGCATGTATTGTAATTATGTTTAAAAGACATTAATTGGAAATCCTATTAATTATTTGTTTATAAATATTTCATGTAAATAGTTGAATCTCAATTTTCATTGATTAAGTTGATAATGTATACATAACAGGAAGTTCATGCAAGTTGTGTTGAAATAAAATGCTACTTACAACTAGTAATAATTTTTGAATTTAGACCCCTGAATTTCCATTCATTAACATAAACATTATCAGAAAAAAATGTATATAAGAAAACTTACCAAAGCCATCAGTAATTTCATCTATCATATCAGATTTGGCAGTAAGGAAAACTTCGCCATTTTCTACATTATTTTTATTTGCAGTTTCAAAATATGTATTAGAAAAGAATTTATCCAGCTCTAATTTGGCAGCCTATAATATAAAATACATTTGTATTCATTATGATTGATTTTTATAAATAACAGATTAAAATAAAAAAAATGTCAAAAAAAAAAATAGTATTAAAATCTATCTGAACATCAACTACTACTTTCCTAGTAAGGCTATTACTTTTATACTTTTATCATATTCACATATTTTTCCTGATTTATCAAAAAAAAAAAAAAACTTACAGTAACATAATTGAGACATGTTCCTGTGATTTTGATAACTTCATTTCCGATAATAACAGAGTATTTAAATTCCTCAGGTGCACATTCACTAGCAGAACGATTTCGTGAATATTCATAAGTATTGTCATCCTGATTAGCCATAATGGAATTTCTTACATCCGGATCAGGTTCATAATCACCGCCTCCAAGTGTGCAATACATTCAGGTGATCGGACAGGAGATGCATTGCGGCGAATCGTTTCTTCTATCAATTGCTTGCCATAGCTACAAAAATTGTAATTAACTACATTCTTAAAAAATATATATTTATTCAAACCCAGCAGAAGATATAAATATTATTGAAATTAATATAGTTATATATATATATATATATATATATATATATATATATATATATATTATAACAACTCACTTAATTTTTTCCTCTGATGGTCCTGTAATCTGGACTAGTCTTTCTTTCGCTCCTGGATTAACTGCAAAAGAATTGCACAATTTCTTATTTAGAATTATAAAAAAGGAAATATTAAGAATAACAGTTAATGTTAGCGCTGGCATTCTGCTCATTCCCATCAAATCTGCTTCTATTTTTATTTTTTATTATGACTCATCATAAAATTAACTACCACCACATGCAATTAAATGATATGATGTTTTAAGAATAGTAGTTGATTACAAACGTTTAAACCAAATAATAAACCTATTTAAATAAGATGCAAGTATTAATGTCATTGCAAAACTATATTATAATCCTCAATTACATTTATTCAAAAATGTAATAAATATATGAAAATATACAGATGAAAATAAATGTTACATAAAATATAATTAATTAAACAAGCAATTAGTAAATGCTGAATTCCTTGCGTTAACACCACATCAAAATTACCTCTTTGAAAGGAAATTATCGTCTCACTTAATTCTTCAATCATATGGACTCTTCTCCTTTGATTCCCATTACTACAAAATAATTCACACACTAAATTCATTATTCGTAAGTTATATAATTTCGAATATATCTTTCATCAAATAAAACAACAGCTTCTTAATTAGAGAAATATACCCAAGTAAAATATAGTAACAAGGACAAATAGTAAATAGAAATAATTAAACAAAAATATCCAAGGATAGATAAACAGATCGTAACTAATAGAATACAAGCCTACAAACAATTATAGAAACTATGTGGCACCTTGAGAAAATAGCACAAACAATTTTATAAATACTTTCTATTTTATATCATGTCACATAATTTGCTTATTGTCAGATTATATAATACCCCATATGCATAAAAAAAAACTAATTGTAATCAAATAAATTAATAATAATTATGATGATAATTCATCAAAAATTATAATGAGAATTTGTAGATAAAAATGAAGTTAAAACAAAACATTTAATATAAATCAATTTACCTTTCCCGAATCTGCATTTCTTATTACAACTTCATCTTTAAAATAATTCTTGCCCTGTATCTTTGTGGGTTTATTATATTTTCCAGAAGCTCGTACTACTTCACCTTGTTCTAATAATTGCTGACCAGGAGCTATATTGCTAAATGGTTCTGGTGAAGTACTGAGAATTACTGGCTCTATAGGTGATGTCTGAATTAAACAGATATATATTTAATAAATATTAATAACTATAACAATAAGCATAAATATTAAATTCCTGATTTAACTTAAGCAGAATGTCACATTTAAATTATTTGATTAGATATAGGTAATTACAGTAGCAAAAGATAAAGCATTAATAAAATTTTACAATTGTTTAGAGGCACTTAAAATCATTTAATGAATCTTTCTATATTTAATTTATTTCTCTTATCTATGCTTATGTTTCTTGGACATTCGTATTATATAAATTAGTAGTATAAACAAGTTCGTCATTTAACATGCACTTTCAGCTAAAATTGTACTTCAAACAAAATATTAGGTGAAACTATAAATTTTATTTACTTTAGTTATATTTTCAGAAAAATATAGAAGATTTACATAGAATAATTTATATCTAAAAACTTGAAAACTTCCAACTATTGTGTTGTGTCAGTAGGATAAAAATAGATTAATTCGTGTCATATAACAATATTTTATGACAATAGGGTAAAACATAATGTATAATATATTATAGCATTCATTAAATAATAAAAAGAATTACATACACCAGGTTTTGAAACTCATTAGTAAAAATGTGACTACTTTGACAGAAGCTATAAAATGGATTATGACTAACTAATAATACATCTTACCTCTTGAATTTTTGAAACTTTAGGCCGATAATAAGAATTAACTCCATCTGTACATTTCCATCGGTTTGCTCTTAATTCTACCAATTGCAATAAAGGCAAGCGAATATTATAATTCAGATTATCGAATTGTAATACGTTTCGAAACATAAAAATATTTTATCCAGAGAATCTCCATAATTCACTTCTAATATGGGGCCACGCAACTTTAGTTGATTACTCAGCCACATCAACTCACAAAGTGAACTTTGATCCGTAGGATTCGTTAATATAGTGTTCGATAGTGTTTCAGCAAATGATATAAGATATTCATCTAATGAAAAATAAATAGCATTAGAATAAATAGTACTAGAATGACTTGCATACCATTACCTGTCACTTGATTATCCTGTGTGCTCATAGTAGATTTTTGAGCTGATTTCAAAGGCCGTGGTGGCTCGATGTTTTTACGATTTTTGTGATGTTAGCCATTAAAATACAGATATTATTTTTAAATCGCTTAATTTGAGATTACTTTTGTTTGTGGATACGCTTACTTTGATGAGTGAACTATAACCCAAATTCGCTGGCGTTCTACAATATGTCTTGCCGTGTGTTTAAATCCTGTAATAAAACAAATCAATTATTATTTTTGTATAACAAAAGCTCTCAAGTAAATCTTAACTTACCTAAAACACGAAGACTATAATTTTTTGAAGAACGACCAGCGAAAATAAATGAAAAACTTAGCAATTCGTGAGTGACCCGAATTGCAAGTCTGTCAATGTAATGGAAATAAAATAAAACGTATCGCCAAAACCAAACAGTGAAAATGCAGGTATATCAAAAAAGAAAACAATATAAACAATACTTATGCTTATACTGTTGGTGCATCTGTACAAATATTGCAACGCAATTATAGGAATCTGGAACTCCTTTTTCATTGGTTGGCAACCTAAATGTTAAGCTA